CAAGACAAAACCTACACTCTCCATTTGTTGCACAAGGCAAACAGACATTTTTCAAACTAATTAGCCAATAATATGCAAGAGAAAAAGTAATATGGTGCGACTAAGAAAGGTGTTGATGATTGAGTGCTCACACTGTAATTAGTGTGTCAGGCCCTCATTTCTCTGCCAAGCCTCAGCTATTAATTGCACCAAATTAGAAAACTATATCAGAGGCAGAATTATTCTTTCACTTGTCATTTTGAGAGAGGGAATTCATTCCATTCAAGAGGCAGGTTAAAAAGAGGGGAAGCAGATACTAATCTGCTTATGTCATGTAAATAAATGTTCCTGATGCTATCGTAAGAGACTTGCCTAGACATTCTTTTAAAACAGCTGGCACTGATATACACATTCTCTTTCACAGACACACACACAAATGTTACCTTCCAAGTGGCTGCATTGCGCCTGAAATAGGCAAATGTCCGCGTAAACCAGCTATAAATTTCATTGAGTGTTAACTGCCTGTCAGTTGATTCCATGATAGCCTGAAATGAGAGAGACAAGATACAGATTGATACAAAATAATGGTTTCTTAACAAGCTTAGACAGTATTCTGTTCTCTAGCAAGCCTTCACACATTCTAATGTAATGTAAAAGTTAATTCTCTTTCACCTTACCTGCCTTATCAGAGTTGCATAAGTAAACGGAGGTCTGACATCTGCATTTTTATAAAACTCGTAGTTTGGGGCAATTTCTGTTTAAAAAATGGAAATGTGTTGTTATTGGTGTGAACAGGCATCACCCAGGACGTTGATAAAAAGGGTTAGCTGCACTTCAGAACATCCTGACTTGCATTTGTGATTGCATTGCATTGATATTGATATTTGCATTGATATTAGCATTCGCCACCAACATGGGGCCATTTTTATTTATTAATCAGAGTATATTCTTATATGATATGGCATGTAGGAAACTATCCTTCATTTTAGCCATATCATTGTCATAAAATAACAGCTATTTAAAAATCAGTCAGCAAACTCTATAACCATTTTCCTTCAAAGATTATTGATAAACCAGCAAGCTCTCCACTGAAGTCATATATAATGTTCAGATACTAAGCATGATTTTATGTATTAAAGAAAATAAAGCACCTCTTGCACTTCCCAGATCTTGTTCTCTAAATATTTCTATGTTTAAGATATGAAATATCAGCTTACCTGATGACATGGGAATGTTGTATTTATCTGAATGTCGCCTTCGAATGGCTCCCACACTGGGTATGCTGGCAGGGGTGATGACTGAGGGTCCTTGGGTAATTGGAGTAATTGGGGCTGTTGGAGTAGTAGGTGTTTGAGGTAAACTCTGAGGGGATGTTTCCAAGATGTTCTTTGACATGGTGACACTGGACACCAGATTTAACTACAGAGGTCCAGGAAGAAAGCCAGAGGAAGTTACATGAAGAAAAAAAAAGGCAGGGAGAAGTATTTAAATGGTCTGACGGATGAGAAAAGAATTTTCTATGGCTACGTAGCCACTAATAAATTGCAAAAGGAAGAAGCCAAGCTTAGCTAATTACAGAATAAAACTGCATAATAAAAACTATTAAGAGATGCTCTAATCTGCAGTAATGTCACTCAGGACTATTCTGCTAGTCCTACTGGACTTGACTCAACAGTTTACCCTGTAAAAGTAACCTGTAGTTACTTTTACCCGGCTATTTTGCAGGGCAGGCTACTCTCCAGTTGAAGCCCCAGGATCAGAACACAGAAGTATTTTTGCTTTTGGTCAAAGTGACTCAAAATAAGTTCCTATTGTGATACTGCTGGATTTCCTTTCTTCAGTCCCAAATCTCAGCTGAGAGGCTCCAGCCAGCTGGAAAATTTTACACTGACCTTTAGTCTCCTTACTAATTTGGTGGAATGGTAATGACATTACTACATATTCAAACAAAATTGTCTTAATTGCAAATTAGCCAGAGGAAGCTGAAAATTTTCAAATTAAATCTGATTGGAGATGGAGAGAGGGAAATGGAATTTCTTCAGTAACAATCATTTGTGGCATGTGTTAACAAATATAATGAAATGTCAAGTTTGCCAATTCCTCTGGAAGTATCATTTTCAATTTATGATTACAGTGTCACTTATGGTTGATGTACCCTAGAAAGCGGATGTCAGAGTGGGGAGAAAAAAAGAAAGAAGGTGAAAATATATGCAAGCTGTTTAACAGTGCGCCCTTCATTATACCCCCCAGCAAAAAAAAAAAGAGCCTTGCTGCTCATTATCAAAAATGCATATTAACTCTGTCATATTTACCATACATCTTTTGTCATAAATAGCATCCAATTAGCAAAATGGATAATCATGGCAGTAACCCTCCAAACGATTTCTGCCTTATCCTTGGTTGATACCAATCAAAGCTACAATAATTTTCTACAGTATCTTTCAATAGGTAGAACTGAAAAATGGTGTGTTGAAATGATAGAAAGAGCACTATCTATAGGGATCTTATGCGTTATCTAGCACTAAAATGAATAGAAGTTGGGCAGTAGGCGTGCCTTGATTGATTAAACAGAGGTGACTTGGTTTTTATGTCTAATTTAGTAACACCTGCTTTTCAGGACCCAAATAAACTTAAGATAGACTGCTTTTCAATGGCATACAGCATTGATTGATCTTTCTTTGTGGATTTGTTTTACACATCTAGTCAGTAGAGAGATTTGTTAGGGAAACAAAAATTAACATATGCCAGCTAATTGTTTAGCTTTCTTGGGCAGCAGCCAGCGAAAGAGCATTAGCAGTATAATAATAACGACTGGCGCCCTCAAGGCATCCCTGAGTGCATCTGTTCCCTATAAGTCACAAACTGTTTTTCTTTGTTAAATACATATGGGGTGGAGGAAGGAAGGAAAATATAATGATTTTGCTCAATGTTGTCTTCAGTGCACTGATGAAATGCCCAAGAGGTACAAAAGTATCTTTGATTTTGTATAAGTTATAAATTGAAGCAATAACAATTGTTCTTGCTACTACATATCAAAGTTGTAGTATACTATGTATACTACTACAAATTCTAAATTGACATATGAATAGTATATTTTCATTTCATTTATCAAATACATAAACACACACATATATACACATACTTACTTTAAATTGATATCCCACTATTTCCCACCCCATTTTTTTTTTAATCACAATGAAAATAAAATAAAGTTCTATGGGAAGATTGTACATGCTGCATCCCTATTGATAAAGGTTTGGAAATGCTAGGGTTAGTATGTATGTCAACCTCTATGTTTACAACATTATGGTAAGTTATTCTTCTAGGCAGCAATAATAAGCATGACATGTTTGTAGGCATGGAATGTGAGCTGATAAAATAGAATTTATTATTAACTAAAGAAAAGCATGTAAAACCTAGGATGATCACTTAGCCACATCAGCTCATCTGAATATATTCAAGGTTGGGTGGAACTCATTATTCAGTCATGATAACTTTGATTTTCATCCATCCATAGCATGGCCAAAAGGTACCATTTAATGAAGTTCCATTCAGAGAGTAAATGGGGTCATATAATACACACTGCGACTGCACCTTGTATTCATGTACTGATAGCTGTTAAGGGTGTAGTGATGAACCAACACAGCTCATTTTTCCTTGGTAATAAATTCATGCTATTAATAGTTATCAAATGTGTGGGCCGTTTTAATGGAACCACTGTACATGAGTGTATACACCATAATTCTCTACTATCATATCAATTTTGAAGCTTCTTTTGTACAGTGTATACATTTTAGGATTTTTTTGTGGTATTGACCACTCTTCTCTTAAACCAATTTGAAGACAGTATTAGTTCATTACTTCAGATATCTCTAGTTCCAAAGGGAACTTTAAACTGTGCTTTCACTTTAAATTGCTCATCTAAGATTCTGTACTAATTGCCCACCATCAAACGCAATTAGCAATTCTTTCATGTGTGGTTTATGTAATGTAATACTTCAATTACATTATTCATTCAGGTTCTGTTTTGGATTATAGGCTGAAAATTCTTTATTAGTGTAGATGTAACCATGCTGCTGGAGTTTTAAAAAATTTACTGATTGAATAATTAATTGGAAAAGAACAAGCTGCAGATTTCTGATGGATTTATGAGACAATTACTCTGTCATGTGAATATCTATCTTACACTATAGAAAACAGTAGAAAAATATCTTGATTGTAATGCGACAGTCAATTACAATCAATAAATAAATTGATTTAACAATAAATATGAGATAGTTCATAAACAATAAAGCAATAAATATGAGATAGTTCTAAAATTTGTAATAATCCACTTATTGACATTAAATTAATTCTATAATGCAAAAATATTTTCCATGCATTTTCTACACTGTTAAGAAATATTTGGGAGCCAAGTGAAGATACTAAAAACTAACAAAAACAATCCTTTGACAAAAATAAAAAAGCGGATATACAGTATTTAGTACTGTAGTGCAAACTTATATTTAAAGCAATAAACAGTCAATTATGGAAAACAAGACAAATGCTTAAGATTCACATACTGTACATACAGTATATAAAAATGCTACCAATCACTGAAAATCTAGAGGGGCAACCACCAAATTATAAACCACAAGGCAATCAGTTTGGGAGGTGAAAAAGTCCAAAGAAACACTACATGGCAGAAGAGAGATGCAGAAAATTTTAACCCTGATGATTGATGATGGTCCTGATTTCTGCTCTCCATATCTGATAATATGCTTTGAAACAAAGTATTTGAAAGGTTTTGGAAAAAAAATACAAACATGGCTCTTTCATTGTTTTAAGGAATTTTTAGGAGGCTGTGATATACAAGAATGTTTTTTTGTTAATTGTATGCTGTTTTTCTCTATTTTTTTCAAAGATGATTGGCTACATGGAACATAGAATCATTAGGCTGGAAGGGACATCTTTTTTGTATTGTGGTGACCAGAAATGGACACAGTATTCCAATGCGGTCTCAGTAGAATTAATTCTCATCAGATTATATGAAGCAAGCAGACACTTAGATATATATAGTATAACTTGCAAATATATTTTAGAAAGCTACTGAACATTTTTTATTCCATTATCAGTTCTAATTCAGAAACAGGTAGTGATATATCAGTAACTCCCACCTTTTGTCAAAAGTGAACCACTGTGGCATTGCTGATATCAGATGAATAATTTGCTTCTCTCCAATGACAAAAATATTGCAAAATGCAATGTCTTTTCTGATGGATATTTTAAATGACAGGGTAAACTACAGCACCAACCCATGCATTTATAACCTTGTGTTAGGCTACCATTCTAACTTTTTCTTTACTACTTCTGTGTCAGCTGAACTTCAGGTCTTTCAAAACAGCTTTCTTTTTAATATTTGTGAGTCTATTTCAAAAATGATATTCTTTCTAGCTTCAGCAAAAAGGGAGTGATTTGTGCACCTACAGGTGTACTTGTTTAGTGTCCCCTATGGCACAGATTGGACAGATTTTGTAAAAGATAGCATTACTTTTAAAGAAACATGCAATTTGACAAGTGATTGCATTTTACCTTCATTTTATTGCCATATTTTTTATCACACTTATTGTTTTCCAACTGTCAGTAAATTGCTCATTTTCTTAGTCTATTACATTTGTAGACCTATTTACTGTTTATAAAGCAATATGCACTTACAGGTTTTGGAGATGGCTTGGGCTCTGAAGGTCGCATGTGCAAGTGGGTCATCATTGCCTGAAGACGTTCACGTTCTTTAGAAAGCTGTTAAAGAAAGAGTGAGATCAGAAGCATTTTAGAAATGACTAATAACAGCTATTTTATTTCATGTGATACATCTTATCTCTGAGACTGTTATGGAGTAATGTTCCTGCATATCAAAGCCTATGTCGGTGAAAACTTTTATAGAGGAGGAAAGGGAACTTGGATTCTCAGGAGTGAAGGGAGAGAAAGAAGAAAGCTGTATAGCTTTTGTCATGTTTAAAAGGTCAAAGAAAACAAATAATACTTCATCTTTTTGTCAATAAGAGAATTGAGGTCATTACTGACTCAACAGTAGCAAGTTACTAGGTCTGTAAATTATATGGCCCATAGTGTCTCTTTACAATCCTATGGACACTATTAGCAATGGGCTAGTGCCAACAGCTGTGAAGAGGTGAAGGGTCCTCATAGCATGGTGCCTGCCAAGACTGTTTATACTTTTCATCCATTCCCATGAGGTTCAGTTAGTGCCCCCTGCAATCTACCATAATCAATCTAATTCAATAGAGTGACAGGGACTAGGCAGTGTGAAATGTTGAACTCTGCCACTAAACTGACATCGGCACTGTTCTAGGTCTCATTACAACGGATGGACCTTACTTTTCTACCGTCATACAAAAGAGTGGGGAGGGAAAAACTCATAATTGGTCACCCTGAAAGCAGAAAGTCCATTGAGACTTTTATATCACAACATAATATTTGTAAATGTAAATTGCACCTCAAAGAAAGCCTTCAACATGGTTCACAAAAAGACCGGGATTATTTGTGGCCCTCTCCTGTGATTATATGATTATATTATAATATAGTACTCAACAATTATATTTAGTTTTGTATATCTAAAATGCAAAAATGATCATTCAATTTTTAAAGGCCCAATAGTATCATACACATAGATAAAAACCCTAAAAGCACTATGCCAACCAAAGTAACTTTAATATACTAAACAATGCATTAAATGAATACTCTAACATTTTAGTGTAAAAACTTCTTTTCCATGTCAAATTCATAAATGATTGTCCTTGTGTTTTGTCCCGGATTCAGAATAAGGTACTGGTTAGTATAAAATGCAAATAGTTGCAATAGTTGCATACAAACACACACATACACACTTTTCTGAGGATTTGGATGGGTAAATAAGGCAGTCTTCATACATATAAATGAAAGAGGATGACACTACAATTATTTAATTTCCCACTGTTTAATTCAGGCCAAAAAAATGGAATCCAAAGAGGTTAACTATACATGTTTAAAAACAAAACAAAAACCCATAGCCCCAAACCCATACAACCCATGCTTGTATGATATGAGACTTTTCCATACTATGATAGCTATCACTTTTGCAGAATGAGCACGAAATGTAAAACGGGAACAGTAAAACAGTTTAGGGCTATAAAGGAAGACATGTTTTAAATCAGGAGTGTCAAACACAAGGCCCATGGGCCGGATCTGGTCCATGATGTGGTCAGATCTGGCCCACGGGGCCATCCTGGAAAACGCCCACGTCGCTTTGGCCCAGTCTACCCAATCCAAAGAGGAAACATCGTGCCAGCGTGGCTTCGGCCTGGTCTACCCAGTGTGAAGAGAAAATATGCCAGCAGTTTGGGGAGTGGCGTCATGCTGGCCACGCCCACCCATTGGCCACACCGAGTGGCGTCAAGCTGGCCACGCCCACCTCCCTCTCCGAGGTCAACCAAAGCCCTGATGTGGCCCTCAATGAAATTTGTTTGACACCCCTGCTTTAAATAGATTACAGTTTAATTGGTCTGTGCTAAAAAGAATATTAAATATAATTCTGCTAGAGCTTATTTTTGGTAAAAAACATTTTCCATCTGTACAAAACATTTGATTCCCACATTTAAGTCTTTATTATTTTATTGGATCCTTTGTTAACTATCATATGCCGTTTGTCTGGTGGTGTTATCTCCAATTATACTAAATGAAAAATTTCTAGTAATTTGTCTTTCCCTTCCTTACCCCACCTCCCGAATTATTGAATCTATATGTAAAAGGAGATTCTGAGAACCAATTTACGTTAGCCATTTTAGGAATGATAATGTTAGGGGTTGTTTTAATGGAGAGTATCTACACTATTCTTAGATGCCCAAAGTACATTATTCTGAGAACCATCATATACTAAGATAAAATCAAAGCCATTATGTGAATTAGGAGCAAAATTTCTGGATTCTAAAAATATGGCCTTATGAATCTCCAAACACATATTTTCATAACTATATTGCATGATGAAGTAGGTTGAAGATTTGTCTACAAGGTGTCAAAAATCACTAGAATGTATAGAAAGTCAATATGGCAAATAGCACAGAGTTAAAGTTAAATGTTTAGTTGCAGATTAATGATGTTATTGGCATGCATTTATGATGTTATACTTATGTTTATGTTTAACTTTTGCTTTAAAAGGTAGTTGAAAATTTATGTGAATACAAAAGATATAGAAAATAAATTAATCCAGATTTGCATAATGACTTGTCACCTACAGACATCCCATTTCCTAAAGGCACAATTACCAATAAAGCTTAAAAAAATGATAGTTAAAAACAATTTTTAACATAAATGGAGTCAAACCTCATGAGTGCTTATTTAGAAAAAAATACTCCCTGAATTCAGTGGCTTATTTCTAAGTAGATGTTTAAATTGCATAGCTTAAGGTAGTTAATTAGTATTTAGAAATTTGATTTATTTCAAAACATACAAGTAGATATTAAAACATGTTCAAAAATGTTAGCCCATATATATATAATTCCATAAGAAATTAAGACAATTTTCTCAAGGAAAAATATATTCAGAATATGGATATATTTTCAAACCTGTATTTCTAATTGTTGGACCACCTGCATTTGCACCCGACACTGAGCAGTGCTTCGGTCATCCAGTGCATGTTCATTATTAAGGTGCCTAGTAAAAGAAGAAATAATGAAAATAATTAAAAATATAGAACATTAGATAGAGATTGATAACCTTTTCAGTTCTACTGCTTCTCTTTGTGTAGGTTCTGTAAACACAATTCTTACATCAGAAAGCTAGTTACTGAAATCCAGTTTAAATCTAAACTGCTGTAACAGGCATAATATAAACTACCTTGCAAGAAACTCCACTATTTCCCTAATGGAATTCACTGCAAAGTAGTTTGGAAAATGCAACTGAGCAGTCTTGGTCCTCACTATAAGAGATCAGACACACAAGAAAATGGTGCACAAAGGTACAATGACAAGGGGAACAAATTTAACACTTATTTTATAAAAGAGCTAGTCATGGGTACCTATAATAGGAGTAAAGTAACATCACATGTGTTGTGATGATGCAAATGGTACTAATTATAATGGCAAATTCATATCATATATGTGACATAATGTAATTTTGACTTTTACTCAGATGCCTATATAACTAGTTCCTTTTACCTCACAGTTGTGAAGGGATAGACATGTCTAAATAAATATGCCTAAACGTTTAACCACACATCTTTTTATGATTTGAATCCACTTACTAAATCTGAACTTTCCCTTCTCCGCCAAATGAAAAGGGCACATTTTGGTAATAACATTTGGGTATTTTAATGAAAACAGGTACCATTATGTCTACCTTTCAACACATAGCCTGTGAATTTAGCAAAAAAAGCATTTCTGGAAGAACAATGCAAAAAGGCAAAGGATACAGAATTGGAAAATGGAGAAGTACATGTAGATGAAAGAACGCAAATAAAACACAAATGTGATCATTACAAATTTGCTGATCACATTATGAATGACAATATATACTTATACAGGGAAAATATTCTGCTTGATAAAGCAGCTTGCATTTTCTACACTTATATCTTCATATATAAGTGAGAATTTCTATCTTCCAGTCCTAGGAAAAAAACACCATAAGTACCTATGTTTCTTACTAGGCTTACCATATAGTCAATTGAACAGGACATAGAATAGAATAGAATAGAATAGAATAGAATAGAATAGAATAGAATAGAATAGAAT